CTCTCTCTCTCTCTCTCTCTCTCTCTCTCTCTCTCTCTCCCTCCCTCCCCCCTCCCTCCCCCTCTCTCTCTGTACACGTAAACGCATGGATACAGATCTTCTCTTCCTCTTTCTTTCTTTGTCTCTCCCCTCTTACTCTCTTTCTCTCTCTTTCTCTCTCTACTGTCCACGCCCCGTTGCTCTTCGATCTTTTCGCGTTGAAATCTTTTCAGGAATCTCTGCCCTTTGCGAATCGTCGAAGAAAAATTTCTTCGACGACTGTAGTCATTACACCGCGAGTTTATTTGTCGGAAGAACATAAAATTGCCGAATTTCTCCTCAAGATCCGTTGTGTTTCAAAGGACAATTTATCTTTTCCGCTTGCGTATAGACATTGTTTCTATAAAATTCAACGTAAAGTGGTTGATGATACAATAATGATACAAGAACGTGTATCATACAATGCGAGAACTGGAAAATAATTTTTTAAAAATAAATCTTTATAGAGAGCGATTACAGTACATCTATACATACATGTAAATATGCAATTCTCTACTGACGTACTGTACTGCAAGAATTGCAAGTTTGCGGAAGAGGATTTTCAGCAGGTACCGATATCAATTGAAATGTCTGCGTCAACGAATTTACGCAAGAAATTCTCAATAATCTTGGCGGAAATCCTCACACTGCACTCAAGCGAAAGCGAACGTGTACTTGACAGAAATTAGTATTCCTTAATGAATGACGCGATATCCGGCTTGTTCATCCCGTCTTAGACTATAGATTCCGTTCTTCCTTGGTCTTAGACTTGAGGCTGGGAGCCATTCAATTAATTTCACAAGACAATAGTAGCTCACTTCCACATCGGCGAATTGCGCTTGTACGAGTTTCGTACACACTCATTACATCGTTAAATCTGCTACTCCACGTCGTTTGCAGAATATTCGTGTGATCATTTGGAAAATTCAATAAAACATGAATCCGTCTATGCATCTTTATTCGTCTTTTTACAACTCGCTAAGAACTTTGTTAATCTCTATCATAGAGATAACTAAACTAAACAAACGTACATATAAAAAAAAAATAATATTAAAGCTTATGACAAAATGAATTAACAATGACATGTAAAAAATATGACTACACTAATGAAGTTTACTGGATAGAATTTAATTACGTTCTTCAGAATTAACTTGTATAAATATTCATCGCGTGCATTGCAAAAGTAGAGTACCTATTCAATTTCTGACTGAGATAGCAAAGTGTAAAAGTAAAAAATATGGAGGGGGCGCGATGGCAATTAGAGATAATTAAATCTACGACGCTAAATCATCATTTACCTCAGTTAATCTCATTGTCAGTATCTATCCGATGCTGACAATGATAATCCAAAGATGTAATTATCAATCTGGAGATTTTTCAATTTTTTTGATCGAAATAGAATAGCCAAAATGACGACTACCACGGGCGATCCATCGACTCTAAAGACTCCGGCTTCTCTGTCGGGTGGAGATCTCGTTTCTCGTCTTCTGGCGGCCACTCCACCGTACCTATACAACGTGCCACTGACACCTCACAGCTTCTTCTTCAGCGAGATGCTACGTTCCTTCGTACAAGCCAAGGCGGAGGCATCGTCGACTGGCGGTGGCGGCGGCGGTGGCGGCGGCGGCGGCGGTGTTGGGGGTGTCGGCGGAGGTACACCAAATGCACCGCGACGCCGTAAGCGATCTTGGCGAGACGCTCGGGATAGACCACTCGAACTCACGACGAAGGAACGGTCGAATCATCATCATCATCATCATCATTATCACCAGCATTCGGAGAAATACTATCACTCGGCGACGCAGCAGCAACCTTCTCAAGTACCACCGGAGACTCGTTTGGAGAACGATGGCAAGCGAGCCGATACCTATCTCGACACGATGGAGAACAAACCCGGGGGGGCGGCATTCGATCAGAAACCTAACTTTGGTGGCGATATCCTTAAGCCCATTGACGAGAATAAGACCGAATTTTCAGTGCGACAGCACTGTAAGAACTTCTTCGACGAACGGCCGCGACAACACTTTGAGCAGGCCCAGCCGCCGGAGAACGTTTTTCCTGGCGGAGAACCGCGTAAGGTCAAGCCGGAGGATTCGCAGCAGTTGGACCGCAGCAGCGGTAGGAGTTACGAGGACCGGTCGAAAAGTAGCATCGTACCCGGTCAGGAGATGTCCCCTCTGCAATTGTCAGATCAGAAGAAGTTGGACTTTTCACGGGCAGGCCCTTTCTTGCCCGGGATGCCGGGGGGCAGAGGATGCGAGAGCGTACTTCAGGGCGTGAAGGGTTTCGCTCTGCCCAGCGGCATAGGCGCCGGCGCCGGCGCCGGTCCGGCGGATTTTCTACCTGGGCCCCTCTGGTACCCGCCGTATCCGATGCCGCAGTCCTACCCCGGCATCGATCCTCTACACTTCTTCATAGACTTACGCGTCTCCGGCCATATTTGGGATCGCAAGCACGCGAGCGAACGGCAGCTATCTTTCAAGAGCAAACATTGCTCGGCCTTTAGCGTGCCGCAATCGAAGGAGTGCGGGAATCGCCCGTTGAATCTTACTCGCGACGAGGCCACGACGTCGAAGAATCCGCAGGACGCGGAGAACACGCAGGGTACCAATTATATCTTGAAGCATCTGATGAAGACCTACCAGGACATACAGCAGATGAAAATCTCTAGGACGGACGCGTCGATGGAGAACGAGGACCATTCGAAGGGAACACAGCAAAGTAATATATATTGTTATATCGCTTTTCTTCCAATAACACACACACACACACACACACACACACACACGTATATCTATAATTTGTTTAATAATATGTATTATGTCTGCATAATTAATGAGATTATTTATTATACATTATTTTCAATTAGGCTGCAAATTGTGTCGGCTAATGCTGTTAATACGCAATGTCACTTTTTTCAAATTCATGCAGGATTAGTCTGTTTTGTTTGATATACATACATGTATATCATATGCATGTAATATCAGTGATTTATTTTATAGCACACTTACTTAATAAAATAATAAAAATATTTATCATCTCGATTTATAGTGAGTCTTACCAGCTATTGATTATTTTTACAATACACTTGTTAGTTTTGTTCGTCCAATACTCTAAAAGTCTAAACTAAAGATACCCAACTGGTATTTTCGAATAGGCACGCGTATATGCGCCTGCGATAAAATATTCGTAATGGTTTTTCAAGCTGGCGAGGACTGCACTGCAAAGGTAGAGGACACTGGCAATACGGTTACAAATCCCGAAGAGGAGAGAAAGGATTTACGGGCTCTGATCGGTCTCGAATTAGTGGTGGACTATGTGAAAGAGCCGAAGGATGACTCATCGATCGAGCAAACGTCACAAGTAACGGAATAACTTATCCTAACGAATTTGCGATTTGCAAAGGGATGCGCGCGCCTTCCACTTTAATCGCTAAATTAGTCGTATAGTGTCGTTATTTTCTCGTGTAATATCTTCGAAGCTACACTCGCGATGACGGCGATGATTCTTTCGCCGTAATATAAAAATATAGTACCTCAGAGGCAAGATAGAGGATTTGCCGGAATGTGTGCAATAAGATCCGAGGAAGATTGAACCTATATCAGTGAAATATTATATATGTCGCACGCACGCAACGTGTGATACATTCATACGACAATTCGAAAGATATATATATATAATTCTCTTTAAATATTGTTTATTATTATTTTTGCAAAAATATATTTCTTTCAACTGAGGTTTATGTTCAAAGATATTTGTAAACGATATATTTTTGTCGTATACTTTTACACTTTTTTCTTCAACATTTTTCAAACCTTCATATCACACCTCCAGTTGTTGCATTACTATCCAGAAACGAAACTGTCTTCCCTGGTTTCATACTGATTCTGATACACAATTCTCATCATTCGATTCTGAATAATCAAAAGCTATACGGATCAATCCATTACGTGAATTAAAGGATCGTATTAAAGATCTGATCGGATCAGCTGGAGTGAAATAGCTCCGACGGAATTCGACATGTGATATGTACTGTAAATATTACAATAGTATTCCGATGTATCTATATGTATCGATAGAAAGTACTCGTTGTTGTAAGTTGAACGTAATAAAAACAATGCGATTTAACTGCATTACGTTCGTTTCTTATCAATTCGAGCGCCGTGCCGCGCGCTCTTCCCTCCTATATACTCGTATATATATGCATTTGTATAATACATTTGTGTATGTACACAGTTACAATACATATGAATAAAAGTTTCATTTTAACGCGCGAGTTGCACACTATCGTGATTAGCTATGACGCGAAGTTCCAAGATCAGTTCGCCGTTATTGTTACCGTTCAGCTTCATCAATTTCCGCCCTCCTTGTGGAATGAGAATGACGTCGTCGAAGCTGCCTCTTCTGGCAGCCGGTTCGCCGGATAATCTGTGGTACGCGACTGGTCGATCCACGTCCCTGGTCAATCCGACATACGGCTTTTCCGGTGTGACGAGAGTGTATACCTGATGGTCAAGATAAATATTAAATATACATATACAATATATCTGTATGTATTTAGTATTGTATGTATTATACATATATAGGATTTAATTCACATAGTACATATAAGAGTTGCCAGGGTTAGGGACTACGTCACTTTATAAAAGTAACGCATTTATACAGCATTACCCCATTACTTACATTATTAGAAAGTGTGAAATGATTCGTTACTTTTTTCATTACTTTTTCCCAATGTTAAAGAGTAAGATATTAAATTTTACAATTTTTACAATTAATTATCCATATTTTGTTGGTTATACAATCAAGCTTTCATTATACGTTGTTGTTATTATAAACATTAACATCGTTATCAAGAGTGCACAGAGTCTATTTACTGTTAGTACTGCAAATTTATATAGTTTACGTTACACGCGTATGTAAGCACAACAAATTTTCAGTATTGACAACGACTGCAATCGGAATGCAATCTAAGATAAAAATTACGGTAATATTTTTTTATAATATTTAAATTATTTTTTTATTAAAATAAAATATTTCTATTCAATCAAAAATAATGTAATGTATCGAATAGATATAATTGGTATAAAGATAATACAGATTTTAAGTATAACAACTGAACGTCGTTACCGTTATCGTTACAGGTACAGATAGAAAAGAAAAACAACCGTTATCGAAAAAAAATAACGATAACGGTAACGGCGTTCCTTTCTAATCCTGGAAATCACGAAAAAGATATGAAAAATTAATGAACTGTAATGCATACTTGAGACTTTGTGATCTTAGCACATTCTGCTATTCGTTTTCGATTATAGAATTTCTGAACGTTTACTGACCTTTCTAGTCGGAGATATGACATTCTCGTTCTCTAGGGAGTCCCCCGCGGAGAAAGCCAGATCCAGATCGCGAGAAGCCTGCTGTTCCACGATCGGATAAATCGCGTCGTTGTCTCGCGTACCATCTACATTCTCCAGGTAATAAACTCTGCCATCGGCATAGGTCGCGATAGAAAGGGCAATTACCAAGAGAATTGCCTTCTTCATATTCGAGCAGCAACTTTCGACTCGAAGATGCAACGCGCCAAGAGTCCGCGAGGGTAATGAAACGAAAGTTTTCAGTGTGCTAAACAGACAGATGTTAAACTCGCCAATCCGCGGATAAGACGATTATCGCCTCGTGCCGTCAATTAATTAAACATGCATGACGTTTTTGCGTGGGCGGGATTAAAATGTTTCCGATGACACTTGTC